ACTCCAAACATTTATATATTTATACTTATGTCAAAAAAAGATACTTTTCAACAAATTGTGATGATTAAAGCCTTGGTAAAAAAAAAAGCCCTAAAATTTGAGACCCCTCTGCCCCAAACATGAGAGCAACAAGTTAATAAATTGTAAATTTACTATAACAATTGCATAAACATAACTATTTCTTGTTTAGGCTATTACGTTTCTGTTTGAACACCAGAAATTAGCTCATTTTAAAGTTTTTCCCTAGTATAACCATTCAAGAAAAACATTTGACATAAACAAATAATTGTGGACATAAGTAGTATTAGAAATCATGCGAGACCTCGAAATACAGCAAAAGTGCACCTAATAAATATACACCCACAGCAAAAGTTAAAATGAATGATTGCCCACCCAAATTGGCTATTCCGCATCCAATTGGAACTTTTTAACACCGCTCCACTTGATTCACTATTCTACTTTAACCCCTGTGTGTGTGTGTATATATATATATATATATATATATATATATATATATATATATATATATATATATATATAGATATATGTAGTGATGCTATTTTGTGCATATACTATCAAGAAATTGCTCGATAAACTCAAGAAAGTCAGAGCTATAATATATATATATATATATATAGTAGAAAATAAAACTACGTGATTTTCACAACTTTAAGTTTCATGATTTTCACAACTTTCTTGCATGAAACTTAAAGTTGTGAAAATCACGTAGTTTTATTTTCTACTATATATATATATATATATATACATATATATATATATATATATATATATATATATATATATACACATATATATATATATATATATATATATATATATATATATATATATATATATATATATACATATATATATATATATATATATATATATATATATATATATATATATATATATATATATATATATATATATATATATATATATATACACAGATTGTAAATGTATTTTAAGTCAATCAGAATGTTTAATTCAAATTCAATTGGATGCAATATAAAATTTGTTACAATTGGATTAAAATGTAAAACACATTTTGATTGGATTAAAATATGTAACACTTAGTATTTTGTATTTTTAATAAAATATAAAATAAAAGCATTAACTATTTTAAAATCCTCTTAATATGAGTTACTTCTCCGCTTATGTTTTGATAACTATAATTTACTATGCGATTAAACTATATGCGTTTTAAACTCTTTTATTTCAAATAACAGTAAAATTGCATTAAAAACAAATTAAATAATAAACATTATAACATTATAATAATCACACTGAAAAACTTGATTTGAAAAGTAGGAGAAGAACAACAAAAATTTATATATATATATATATATATATATATATATATATATATATATATATATATATATATATATATATATATATATATATATATATATATATATATATATATTTATCGAAGCACTACAAAAATGAGCTACAGCTGCTCAAACAACATTTCAAAAATTATAAAAAGCCACAACAAAAAAATAAATTTAATTAACAACACTGAAAATCTCCCTTGCAATTGCAAGCTGAATAAAAATTGTAGAGCGACAAACATCATTTACAAATGTATAACATCTTCCCCAAACACTCCCAGCAAAGCATACATTGGTTTATCAGAAGGAGTGTGGAAAAAGAGGTATGCAAACAAAAGCAATCATTTTTAAATAAGAAACTTTCAAATGCAACCACTCTCTCAAAACATATATGGGAAACTAGAGAAAAACTGAAAGAAACACCAGAATTAACTTGGTTTATCCTAAAAAAAGCCTACAACAATGAAACAAAAAAATGTTTACTATGCTTATATGAAAAACTGATTATTTTGCTTTATAAAAATGCTGAAGAGCTACTCAATAAAAAAACAGAGTTGATCTCCAAGTGTCGTCACGAAAATAAATTTCTATTGAGCAACCACAAACCTGAAGATTAGATATACCCGGTCGTAACAATAAAAAAAAGTTTTTTCTGTATAGGTTTTTTCTGTATAGTTTCAATTGCATATAACTTTTTAAACGAACAAACTATATTTATATTTCACCAGATGATTGCAACAGCATGAAACTTAAAGTTGTGAAAATCACATAGTTTTATTTTCTACTATATATATATATATATATATATATATATATATATATATATATATATATATATATATATATATATATATATATATATATATATATATATATATATATATATATATATATATATATATATATATATATATATATATATATATGTATATATATATATAAATATATATATATATATATATATATACATATATAAATATATATATATATACATATATTTATAAATGGTTCTAATTCCTGATATCATATATATACATATATATGTATATTTTATATATATATGTATTTTATTTCCAAATACAAAATATTACGTAATATAATATTTGCTCGAACAGTTGAGCACTTTTCTCAAGAAAAGTTCTCACTTTTAAAGAGAAAGTAAATTTTAATTATGCTATCAAGAATATTCTTATACCATCAGAAAAAACCTAAAAATTAAAGTTATTAAAAAAAAACAGAAGAGCTTATAAAAAGGAAGACATGGAAAGCGATTTTCTATAACAATACAAACCTGCAGAGCATTAACAATGATTTAATATCTTCAAATTAAAAAAGAAATTCAGATAAATTTCCTCAGTATGTTAAAGATTTTATTGCTTAAATTTCCCATTGTTGTAAAGTTTCTTTCTCTTTTTTACAAATAATATCATGGCCGCTTTCATCTCTAGTTACACCGCTCATTAGTTGGCTCTACAAACTGTGAAGAATTCTTATCAAACCTAAGAGAAATATATGTGGGGGCCTACTGTTTTGGAGTATTAGCTCAAAATCTCTGAACTTCATTGTCTTTTCATTAAATGAATTGATTATATACATTAATCAATTGATTAATGATGCAAGATCCTTGTACTCAAGTTTCTCTTCCTTTAATGAATTCCATAGACTATGGACTTGGCCTTTTTTTTATCGGGAAGAGTATTTCCATACAAGATCATCAAAAAGTTAAACAATGCAGCTTTATCCATATTTGTTTTATTGAATTATCAGAATTGTTTACATCACAATCAAAATAATGATCTTGCTCCTGTCAGCGCAAGCTGCCTAAAATAATTTCTTCAAGCTTCTTAGGAGCAATTAGGGTTTCGTATTTGCAATAATGACTTTATGTGTCTGAACTGCATCACATTTTACAGGCTGCTAGACACCAATTAGAGTTTCATATTTGAAATTATGACAATTGTATTTGAAATGATGATAAATGACTTTTGGTGTTTGCTTCAAAGATTATTTTCTGCTAGGGAGCGAATAACAATTGTGAATTTTATATAAAAATAGTTGATATTTGTAAACAATTAGATTTGCAGTCAAATGATAGTAAAATGTTAGTAAACTATTAATTTATTTGTAGTCTTTGGGAAACTTATATTAAATTCCCCACAAAGCGAATACACCATTTCTATACCACATTGTAGGTGTAAATACCTTTAAAATCTGCTTGTATAGAGTTAAAAAAGTTTTTAAAAATTAACGTGATTTTGGTCTCAACACCCCACCCCTTCCCATTGTCAATTATTGTCAAATTTTTCAGTACCACCCCCCTATATTAAATGACATCATTTATGGGTGGCGCCTTATCTGTATAATATTTATATATCTGTATATATCCTTATGTGGCGCTTTTGATAGGTGGAAAAAAACAATGTTTTTTTCCACCTATCAAAAGCTTGCATTACTTATTTAAATTTTAAAAGAAATGTTGACATTTAAAACAAACAGGTAAAAAATAATTCTGTATACTGGTAACATTACCAAAACAAGTTTTTGTAATTTGTAATATTTTGTAATTGTAATTAATTGTGTTTAAGCTACTTAGTGCTACTACGTCGTTTTTGTCATAATCATTAACATTGTTAATGACAATATCTTTTTATATGCTCATAAACATTTGTTGCATATTCTTTTTACTTTTTTTAACAGTCCTTGGAAATGATGTCTGCCTCTTTCTCTAAAATGAGGGTTTATTAGTAAAGGGAGAATTAAGGGAACCCATTAATAGAATATGTAATTACTAAGCTCTTATGTATTTCTTAATACCACATTTGATAATGAACATGCATTAGAAATGGTTTACAAGTTACTAACTTATTCATGAAATAATTATTCAAATTATACAATTGTCTTCGATTGTTTAAATTTCATAATAAATAAAACTCCCTTCAGTTCAAGTATTTTAATATAATATCTTACTAAGTTATGGTTTTATTTGACTGTGTTATTTGGCAGTGTTTTGTGGTGGTATTGGCAGTGCCAAGCGGTGTTACTAGGTTGTGTTGTTAAGTTTTTTTCAATTATTTTGGAAACACATAAAATGTAAGTTAATATTTAGCAAAAGGTAATGTGTGAATATTTTATGCTTAATAGAAATTTCTATAAAGCAACCACAAACCTGAAGATAGACAGGGTTGTAACAATAGTTTTTTATGTATAGGTTTTTTATGTTTTACGTAACTAGTTTACGTAACCATTTGTAAATAATTTTTTAAGGAAAAAACTATACTTGCATTTCACCTGATAATTGCAATAGCATGATACAAAATGTTATTATAAAATTATAATAACATTTTGTATCATGCTATTGCATGATACAAAATGTTATTATAATTTTATATAACATTTTGTATCATGCTATTGCAATTATCAGGTGAAATGCAAGTATAGTTTTTTCCTTAAAAAATTATTTACAAATGTATTTGTATCACACACACACACACAGATTTATATATATATATATATATATATATATATATATATATATATATATATATATATATATATATATATATATATATATATAAATATATATATATTACAGGGATTGAACATTTATTTTGAGCACTGGTACAACTACAATACTCACAAATTAAATATTTGAAATACCTTTCAACAACTTTAGATATAATTTCAGCAATATCAGGTTTTTCTTCTTGTAAACTTTTCCATAGATCCCACACAAAATCTTTATCTTTCTAAAAACAAAATTTAATTCACTTATTATGTATTTTTAATTCTGAAACAACAATAACTTGCAATTTCCAAAATTATTTGTTATTGCTTTAATAGATATTTAGTACACTAAATAAAAGATGCACAATTAACTTTTGTTTTTATAGCTAAATGTTTATTTCATGTTCATTTTAAAACTAAATTCAAATTTAATTGTTGAGATGTTTTATATAATTTGGAAGTTATTCTTTGTTATATAACTAATCAGAATCTTTTTTTTTCCATGACATGTTTTGGAGGTTCTTATCATGATAAAATTGCTCTCAAAGACTGTAAATATTTCTTTTAATGCTGGATGACAATTTTTATCTAGAATAGATCAGACCATTTTAAAGATGTATTTATTTATTTTTTCAGAGAATCTAATTTAAATGATTCAATTAGTGGATCGAATGAGCATTTTGATAAGCACAACATAATTCATGCTGATTTTATTTGAGTTAAATCAAGTTTATTTGTCTTGACAACAGGTGTTTTTATTTAGATGTGTCTTGAAAACTAGTGTGTTTATTTAGATGTGTCTTGACAACTGGTGCATATAATGTACCACTTCCATGTGGCTTATTACAAGAACAATATGAGCCATCTTTAGCAATTGTTTTGTTTTCATCTGGAAGATGCACGAACTAATAAGCCCAAGCTTGAATTACATTTTGAAATAACATTTTTAAATGTTAGGTCTAAATGTTGATCTAAAGTCACTAATTGATCTAAAAACACCAAGTTTTGTCCACTTTATTGCTTCCATTTAAGATTATTTCAGTTTATTTATTTTTTAGTTAGTGCTTTAAACAAAATAAATTGACTTTTATACGAAAACAACTGAATCTAATTTATTTTTAAATGTCAACTTACTGTTGATCTAAAGTAAAATAACTGTTTTGTCTGTTTTATTTCTAATTCCATCTTGGAATTAAAATATAGCATTAAAATATAATTTAAAAATTATTATTAGTGAAAAACTAAAACTTTTATCACTTCTTGAACAAATTTATTTGAAAAAATACAACAAAATGGAATTATTAAAAATCATTTTAATAAATTGTATAAAATCCACATAATTAAAAATAAGTTTTAAAGGAAATATTTTGTTTTACTTAATGCAACTAAAATGTCTGCTAACATGTATGTTCTAGTCTCAATAAAATCAACATTGTTGTGAGAATTTGTTCACAGTTGATGTTGCCATAACTTTTATTTTAAAAAAAGTTGAAACTTGCATTCAACTTTAAAAAAATAGATATGGGTGGCTAGTAACAGTTTTATTTTAAATCACAATAAAATAACAAAAAAAAAACTGCAGGATTTTAAGACTAGTTAAACATAATCCTGAAATCCTGAAATTTAAAAAATAAAATAATAAAACCAAACAATGTGATAGCAAACAAAAAACCATACTTGACAAAGAGCCAATTCTTCTGATAGAGATTTATTTTGTATCATTAATTCTTCAT